TTCCAATGTAAGGAACAAACACCCACTGATGTATAAATAAAGACCAGGGCAGTCTCAGAGTTGCGAGTCTCTGAGCCCTCACTCTCTCGTGCGAGCGTTCTGGTGCCTGCCCTTGCTAGCAAGAAAACTGTGTGTTTCTCCTCTCTGATTCTCAGCTGAAGAAGTGTTTTAGAATATATCTCTTAACATTGTCGATTCAAACAATGTTATTTGAAACATGGGGGAATATTTTTTAAAGCCTTATAAATGGTTTGGCACAGTGTAAACTGCAAAAGCTTCACAAAGTATTACACGTCCCATTTGACAAATAAAAGTAGGAGTTCCTCACGCGAGAGATACTAAACCAAGAAGACTGTATTGAAACAATTACATGAATGTAAATAAGTTGATAATGCAAGTTCATGTTCTAAAAGCATGCATTGTGATAAGTGCATTTAAAATCAGTTGTTGTTATGAATGCAACCAGTTAAGCCTGAATGCAGAGGGAAAATAAAGTTCACAGCTTCCTGTGAAAGCATGTTGAATCGAGGAGTGACCTGTGGCCACCCCGGCCCACATCTAACAACATCAATGTGCAAAGACTCCGTTCTAACTTGGTAGCGTTCAATTAGTATAATTTCTACAGAATTGTAAAATTATGAACCATGCCTAATCTCTGGAAACGGCAAAATAGAACAGCTGAAGATGAGCCAAAAAAACAAAAAGAAAACAAAACAAACTGAAAAAGGGAGCTCAAAGGCTTAAACTCGTTTGCACTCCCCAAAGTCTCCACCTCTTCTGCGGCACCAGAAACAATGCCCCAACACTGAGCTGTGTTGAAAGCAAACATGATTTAAGCAGTTGTTGCAGTGCCTGGGAAAGGCACTCAGATGAGGAAAGCAGTTATATGCATGCAGCTGCTTTGTTACAAAATTCATTATCTGGAAAAGAAATAAATAACTGTCCTCAGCCAATCATGCAGATATTATGCTGATAAAAGGCAAAGGGCATTGTGTGCGAATAAGTTGAGCGTGTATGGGGAAATACATTTCAGGTATGAGTCTGTGAGTATGCTGTAGTTACACGTGTACATGCGCCTAATATCCTCCTGCAATATTTCACCTTGGCTGTTATTTATCAGGTACTGTATGAGGTTGTTATCGCATCGCCCGGCCGTATCTGGTATAAAGAAAAAGCATGTTTAGCAGCGAGGCACCACTGGGTGCACCAACATCATGTTTGGCTTTGTCATGCCAACAGCAGAACAAATTTATCTCCAGCGTATCAGGTTGATAACAAAAAAGGTAGATTACTGGAAATATCTAGAGAAATGGGATGTAGGGAGAAGGTTATGCAGTGAGGCAAGGACAATTTCCAACTTCCAGAACCTGGTGATGGCAGTGAAGGTTGCTGGCCCCAAGTCTGCAAATCAAATGACAAATGAGTCATAAGTCTTTAGCTTTGACGCTATATATAACAGCCAGCTACAAATCACAGCTGACCTTTTTATTTATGATTTGATAGAAATATTAAATATACAAGTTTTGCTGCTTTCTACTAGTAATCTTAATTCAGAATAGTTGTAAATACATTTAAAAGCAGATTAGTTCTGAGAACAGACACGGGGTAAGCAACAGATCAGCTGCACTGACTGTTTCAGTGGTATGAATCAACATCAGGAAACATATGGGTGCAAACATTCATTAAATGGCTCTGCACAGACACGCACAGATGATCAGTCACAGCAGATCATCTGCCTCCATCTCGCCATGTACCTAGCATGCACTTCTGTCACACTGTCCTCCTTCACTACACCTCAAACCTCCTCTGAGATCTTTCTCTTTTCCTCCATATTCCAGCTCCATATTCTGCATCCTTCATCCAGTGTATCCACTATCCCTCCTCTGCACATGTCCAAACCCTCTCAGCCTTACCTTTGCACTTTGTCTCCAAACTGCTCAACCTGAGCCGTCACACTCATTTCTAATCTTGTCCATCCTGCTCACTCCCAGTGAAATTCTTAACACCTTCTACTCGGCCCGCTCAAATTTTGCCTCCTGTCTTATCATATGTCAGTATTATCATTAGTAGTAGTATATAATCAATCAGGATAGCTGTTACTGCATTTCATCCTTTTTCATCAGTAGTATTTGACAAATTAAACTAAGGAGAAGTCACACAACAGGCACGGTTCCTTTCTCACAGAAATAAACTATAAGTCACTCCGCAAAGATGCTTTAGGAATGTAAATCTGTCAAGAGAGCTGTATAATAACTAACAAAAGACAATTGGTTTTCAGATACTAATCAATACTTACAGCAAATCGGATTAGATACTCATTTGCAACAGTATTGACACCAACAGTGTTGCCTTCGCCTCCTTCAGATGATACACAGTTTCACACTGCACTGCTGCAGACAAGCAGGCACGCGGTCCCTCCTCTAACTAGCAGCTCAAGTAGTAATAAAATGATAACGATAATGTGGGAGCAGCAAACGTTATCAGTCTTGCCTGTCGGTAACATTAATGGATGGT